ATATATAGAATTGCATAAACAGAACGCGACAGTAGCAACCAGCACGTCATTTTGTAGTACTCGTGAAGCTGGCGTATACTATGAGAAGTATGACGAATCATTGCCCGTGAAATAAGTACAACTAATAATAATCTTAAATGTTGATAAGAAGGTGATTAGGCTGTGTTTTTTTTTTTGTGCGTAGATGAACAGAAAGCTTAGAGAACAATAAATTCATAAAAAAATATTACATTTTTTCTACAACAGAAATTCACTACTCCTCAGTGTACCGATTGTCGTAGACAACTTCTGCGAGTCCCTAAAGACGCTCGAAAAGCTATAAACTGGGGGGCCATTTCGAAACAAAACTGCTAACACTAGCGATATCTCTTAAAACTATGATCTTCCTGTGAAGAGTGATTTGAATTTAATTCATAAAAAAATACAAAGTCGGCAATCTGAGAATTTGCGTTAACAGTATCATTCTTTAACTAAATATACGCACAATAAAAGATATCGGCCTATTAACGAGCTGATGAATAGTAGAGGCACTTCAGCTCAAGTTGGACAAAGGCAGACCTGCCACAATCAAAAGCAGCATAAAATTTATGTCAAGTCTAAACAGGGCAAATAGGTATCGAGATTAGTGACTAGCTACTTTTTAGTCAGACTCAGTCAGCTTCCTTTTCCTCATTCACTTGCAGGCCTAACCGCTGGCCGACGTTCCAACACTCGAAAATCTTATAACATTTTATTGATATATTTGTCTTAAGGTACGGTAATGTCGTAGTTTTCATGGATGATGAAATTCATGCCCAGGAAACAGGACGATGGCTGCACCTTTAACTCAAAGTGCTTCGTCATAGTACCTTTTGCAATCAGCATATCGTTGACGTAAATACCAAGTCTTGCTCAAAAAATAGAAGCTGCTGTCTCCTAGGCCAGCATCTGTTAGCGCTTTCCTGGATTTCTTGGCGAGGTAGTGTCGTGATTAATGACGACTTGATTTTATCTGCAGTATCGGTCTTTGTTATCGCCGTATCTGTTCTGGTCAAAAAAGATATATCACAAAAATAGCGCTATTCTGGTAAACGCTTCTTATGCCTATTTGTTTATTATACGGCTTTTCATAAGCGCTTATGGCCAAAATGATGCGTATCGTCTCTAATTTTGACACGGCCGCATATACATTAAACGGAGAGAAATCCTTTCCGGCAACCTGAGTGAAGACTCTCATAACGTACCTGGTTTTATAACCTCGTTCGTGTCCCTTTTTCGTTGGAAGACACATTTTGCTTCTACAGCATGTACCTTTGTGCTAGTTCAGCTACACTTGTTTTTACTACTTTTTTTATTTTTTGGAGGTTAAGGGCAAATGCATTATGCAGACCGGACATCATTGACTGTGCTTTGTCCGGTACTGTGGGACTCTCACCCACTAAACCCTGGACCCCTTTATCAGCTTGGGCCATGGTTCGGGATATGTTTGATATTACTTCGAAACCATGACTTGCAGGAACTGTCATTTCATCATCCTTTCCTTTGAGCCGTTCCAGTCCATCCTCCATTCTGGCTTTTCTCTTGTACTGAGTCTATTCGTGTGACCTTAGCTCTCCCTTTGCGCTTAGGAAATCTTCAGTCCAGTAGGAATCGAAGCGAATTGTTTTTTTTTATTCATAACCTGGTTCTGAACTGTGTATCTTCCTTCGACCATGCGTCCGTTCACTTCGTTTGAAACTCTCTCTTTTTCAATGTCGCTCTTTATTTTCAGAGCCGGACACGACCTCTTCGCTCTGTTATTACTTTAACTCTGTCTAGTTTCTCCGTGTTCATTTGTCGAAATCTTCTCCTAGCGTAAAACGATTGATGGCTCCTTTCGAAGATGACGTCGCTTGATCGTGCTGTCTTATGCTTCCTCGGAGTCCAGACGCTCTCTCCAAGAGCACCACCCTCCATTTTAGACGCGAGCTCCCTTCGGCCGAGTGAAAAATGAAGTAGGCAGCACTTCGATTCAGATGCGTAAATTTTACCCTGTTGTGGTTTGTGTCGAACAAAGTTTGCTTCACACACTAGTTGCAATACTCACATTCACGACCATGCTAGCACATTATTCGATTTCATTTCATAAATACCTGGCTCGTGGGGTAAGTTAAGTATGGCGTTCGGTAAAGTTAAGCTCATCTTTTCGGCCATTTCGTTATACGTCGGCTGGTTGACCATTAAATGTCAAAAGTTCGAATAGATTCTCGTTACAGTTGACCTAAATGCAGGCGCTACCCTCCGGCAAGAGGCCCTTGTCTACTAATTTTTGCCAACTATTAGAGTAAACAAAAGAAAGTTTCGACGCTTCTATGTAAGGAGCACTGTCTACCGTACAGCTTACAGTATTGCTCAGTGAGATTAATGTAGTTGTTCTTAGCCTTTTTACTTACTTTCCAATTACGCGAGCCGTGGCGGAGTCCAGCGTTTATAAATCGCTATTTCCCCTCAGCATCGTGTGCTCGATATTCAGTTTTTTTTTTAGAAATACATTTTTACCGTTCGATCTCGTTACTTGCACCATGTACAGGTTTAATGGGTAATTTGAAGGCCGATTGTTTTGGTGAAGATTTTTAGGCTCCCCAAGTGCTTTGAAGAACACAACTGAGAAAAGCTTTTGACTGACGATTCGTTGACGACAATGTCTAAGTTCGATCGTATTGCTTTAGTTGTTCTATATTGGCGGGGGTTGTGCCATATTGGCAGTATCTTTTCCTTACCTAGTGCTAAAGCACACTCGTCTTCCTGTAGTGCTAACTTGGCTGGGACTTTGTCGGGGTTAGTGGGTATCTTCAAAGTATCACACTGATTTTTTCTACTGTTAGTGGCACGTGGGCTGTGCTGACTATGTCGATGGACGCATGCTCCTGATGTGATGAAGCTGTTTCTGTTAGACGCTGGCTCTGTTTATAACATCACTGGCCATTGGATTGTCACACTGCAGGATTTGACAATGATTGTGGTCCATTAATGCGCTGATTAATGCTGAAGATACCTTGACTCAATTGGTTTAAGGTAGATCTGTATAACTGACGCGAAGCTTTTTCGATAGCAAGTGCCGAGATTTAATAGATTGATTCTATCCTTTTACGCTGCATGCTTTGGCCTGGTTCGGTAGAAAGGTTGGAGTCGTTTATACACGTAGCTAACAGCTTCGCGCCTTCGGTTGTATGTTTTCTCGCTAGATAGTTAGGTTGGTATATAGTGAATACTACACTATAAATATAATATGCACCGCAGTTATTTATTATGTGATATTAAAATTATACAAATTAATTCCTTCTTGTGTTCTGTATCGATGAATCAAGAACTTTTCTATTCTATTTGCATGGCTATTGTAGACAGCCCTAACTGTACACGTGCTTGTTGTTATTAGGATGAGGAGGACTTTAGACTCAGAATTTACCTAAATAGATTAGACAAGCGCAGCTTATAAAAAAAAAAAAAAAAAAGTAAAAAAAAAATAACACTGATTCACGTTAGTGGCCTTCGATAGTGGCAACTGATGCTAAAATCTGTTGCGTATAGTAACCTTTACGGTTAGACAAAAATTTACGACTTCTTGCACTCGATACTCAAACTTACAAAGAAAGATACAGTAAGGCATATCGAAGGAGTAATATACTTGTTGAACGCGTATGAAGGACAACCAAGGCCCTTTGTGATAATAGCCAGACGTTTGGAGCGGTGACGAACTACTAGCCCTTAAAGGCCTAGTATAAACTATACCGTTGATAATGTTTTACACCTCGTTTGAAAATTCGCGCACGTAGCAATACCACCTGAAACAACGTTGATATTTACACGGCTCACACTTCGAATAAATGTTAATCACTTATTCAACAAATACCAGAATGTGCATAGTTGGAATTTACCGTATCATCGCACGTGTGTGCCTTTAATACAGATACGATGAGAAGTGTAAACAAAAACACTGTGTTGATATGTAGCTTTTTGCCAAGGTTAACGTTTCTTAGCAAAATTGGTATCGTTAAAGGTCGTGTTCATAGCACTCTAGAGATGATTTCGATTATACTTATTCCATTTCGAAATACCAAGCGGGGGGCAAATTGACTTTTTTTCCTTTTAAATTCCTCGTTTTTTCGTAATCCCCTTCGACCATTTGGTACTTATAAATAGCAAATAATAACATTTGGCATTATAAATACCTTGCACTCATCCAATTTGAGTTGATTTTGCTAGCCCTGGTCAAAAGTGTATTTTGTGATGGTATTTATAGGTTCGCTTTGCTGTTAATGAATACACAAGTCAACGACGTCCCATTTCAGCATACATCTGACTTGCCACATAAAAATGGCTCAATTCCTGATTCATCGTGATACTGTTCGTAGTACCAACTACTTTTTAATACTATGGAAAAGGTCAAGCATATTTTACCTTAGAGGTCCAACATATCCCCAGGATGTATTTTCTCAGTGTTTATATTGCGCCTACACTTCACAAAGACGTTTGAGTTAGTGCCTTCTACTTCGTTTATAAAAAGCAGAAAATGTATCAAACATTCTGTTTCTGATGACTCTAGACATATCCGGTTTTCAGAATAAAAATTTTCCATGTACGATTAATCAGATCCAACAGCGAAGACGCCAGGTATAACCTTGCATAGTTCCAGGTAAGTATGTTACCTAGAACCAAAACAATGATTAGTTTGTTGAACAATTGTTATTAATTATTACTAGCGAATCTATACAAAAAATTATGTCATGATCATAACGTAACGCTGCGACTACTTAACTTGTGTATGACAAAGCCGCAGTACGCTAGAATGCTGTATATATTCCGTAACTTCTTTCCGTAAATTTTGTTTTCTTTCCTAGACAGACGCTAAGACCATTTTGCAGTGTCGCTTCAGAAGCTACCAGAAAATATCTTCGTAGATATCTTCAGCGTTTCTCCAACATATTTATCGAGCACAAGGTTCTGGTGCTTTTTCTCTTGCTAGAACTAAAATTTGAATCAGTGGTGGCAGTTACATCTATTGTTAAAGGTTACGAAAGCAACACATTTAAAAATTGAGAAGCTTCGTTTAATAGGTTAAATATATTAAACTGTAGGTTCCGTATGGGGATCTCTATGCGCTTTTGCTTCGCATGGGTTCGGTGTAGCGGGTCGATCCACAGCGGATTGGCTACGCTAAGAGAACTATTTGGAGAACTAACTACAATGCCGCTGGTGGTAACCTCTGCGAAGAGGATACGGTTTTATTACTAAGTAAAGGTTCCTCAAATCTCCCTAATCTATTTTTAAGACGAGCTCCCACCGCAAGCGGAAGTTTCTGATTAACGCGTATTTTCCCACCAATGATGAGAGGCCCTAAGTACTAGGTATTACAACTAATAAAACTTACATACTCTTCCGTTATGAAACCAGTTCCTATGAAAAAAAGAAGAGAGAAACGCACGTTAATGAATTTTATTCCGTTGCTAGTTATATTGATGGCATCGTCCAAAAATGTGACCGGTCGCAATCACGTGTATATTTACCTGAAATGTAAAGAAATTTGACAGTTCTACGAAGCTTTGTAGGGAGTCATCTTGTGGAATTCTTAATCTTGAGAGAGCCGTAATATTAATGAGTCAGCAACGGTGTACCGATAAGTCTTACCATAAAATGTAATAATCCTTAACTGAAGTGAAAAATTCAATTTGTACTAATTGTCCTTCTAGAAGAATTCGAATTTCATTGAGAACTCGATTGTACACACAGACACGCTCATGGGTTACGCACATACGTTAATTTTTAAGACTGAAGAAGAATGTTAAGACAAGAAACCTTCCCTGAATGAGCCTGATGGTACAATCTAATACGTTACGCAATGAAATAATGCGACTTACGTCTCTTAATAACAGCGTTAATAAATTGTTCTAAAATTAGCTAAGGAGCGTGACTGAAGATTTTAGAGCCCCAGTTCCATTTTGAACTAACACCACCGTATCGACAAGGACGGTAATGAGCATCTATTATAGAAGGTACAATTTTCTTTTTAATTCAAATAATAATTATCTGTGCATCAAATCTGAAGTTCTAACCGCCTAAACTACTTATACACTTTAGAACAGCCTATATAATTGACTGTATTGTTACCAAGATCAGCTTGATATCCTCCCTGATCAGCAAGATCAACCTCCCTGACATGGTTGATTAGCTCAATAGTTGCTCTTCACGAAATCGTTTGCGCCATTTTCTTCACTAGTAAATTTCGAAGTTATGCTGTCGTTATAGCTTGTATGACAGCTACGCATTCGATGCGCAAGCTGGTGACGTGGCTAATTGAATGCTTGGAGCTTTTCGCCCAGAACGGCCATCGTCGTTGTGAAGTTCATCGCTACCACTCAGACTCTGTACCTGTTCCCGCTTAAAAGCAAATAGCAGTACACCTAGCAACAGACGATTGACATAGGAAATAGTGCGATGTACATCGAACGATAATAAAATCCTTTGTGGCGTTTTACGGATCCTAATCGAGTATTCATTGTCTCCTTTCGCATTACGAAGCGACAGTGCTACCCCACTTGTGTCGTCGCACTGCGCGACACGTAACGAATGCTGCTGGAGCAGTAATCGTTGTAGTCGTCATTTCTTCACCAAAAGTCTGCTCTCTTAGTCAATTTTAAAGTGATTTGATCATTTATATAGAATAGTACAGTTGTACACGGAACATTTTCGAAGAATGACGAGGATTGACATGAAGCTGTGTGAAGGTAAGCGGGATCGAACTGAAACAATTTCGGCTGAATCTTTGTTCCGCCACTCCTTGCAGAGAAAGTGATTTTCAGTAAAGCGATATACTAATATTTCGGTTGTTAACACATGTAAAGTGGATGATAGTCCTGTGACTTTAACGTAGGTCTTCCTCCAGGTTCGTATTAGGAACTAATCCTCAAGAAAGGTAATGTTTTTAGTTTATTGAACATGGTATGCGCTGCCGCTAATGAGAGAAGTAGATGCAAACGTGTACTTGACCTCTAAGAAAAATACCAAGTATCATTGTTGGCATTGGGTTACTGGCCCATAGTCGTGCCTAGTGACAAATTTTCTGAAATCAATAAGTCGTTACTGCAAATCTATCCGCATAACGTTAATACTACTAACAGTAATAACATATGTGCGTTGTTTTTATTCCGAACATAAAGTCCAAGCAATAATATTAATTGCGTGAGGTTTTTCCAAGTTCAAATCCTGGAAAAGATTAGTGGTCAAGACAGCTTCAGGGTCAACTTGATGACCATGCTAAATGTGGAGTACCACAGGAGAACATTTTGCATTTATATTAAACTGACAGTCCTGAGTGTAGCAACGTAGTATATATAGCACAGTGGATAATAATCGTGTACAACATATATAGTATCCAATATAAAGTATCCCGAATATTGGTCAAGCGGCTTTTATTTTTAGGCAGCTTTTCGGCATTGCTTGTTAATGTTATTTCCGATGCTCTGAGAATCCTGTGGTGCTTATTTTATAGTTTCTTGGTAAGGCTGAATTTCTACTAATTCCACTAACGGATTAAGTTGACGTTTCGAGTGGTCATTATCAGAGCTACAGAACGATGAATTTTACTTTGATCTCTGATCCTGTACTGCGCGGTGCCAAAATATGCTGGAACATGTCAATTTTCCAGAAAGCCATTCATGAAGACGCATGTTATTTATAGTAACAAGCCTAGTCACTTTCCAAATATATGCTTTATAACGGATTTAAAATATCACGCATTTATTATTACCAGAATTCCGGAAATAACCGTTTTAAGAAACCGAAATTTCGGGTGTAGGGGCTGTAAGGTGTACTTCTTATCGGGAAAAAATTACGAAAATGAAGTCCATAAAAATTGTGTTCGTAACAAAACTGTACTTCAATAAGCTTCCATGTTTTCGTTTAAATATGTAAATTTCATCATACTTGTACAATGTGCAGTTTCGGCAGAGTCTGCTGATGGCTACGGAGTTAGATGTGCTGTGTATATGTGACATCCATACGTATTATCATTTGCCGTAGACCTCACCGGTTAATCTTTCATACGTGTCATATCACCGCTGAAAATATATGCCACATTGTAGACAACATTACGGTGCCGTTCGGACGCATGGAACTTGGAACAGCTTACGGATACTGTACAATTCATCATAAATTAACTTTAGCGAAGATTGACTACATTAAGATACTAACCTGTATACGCATAAACTGATTTGCGACCATGGAAGCGATAAGTGTAATTATCTCTTTAACTAGATTTTAAATTTGCTCGAAAACTTCATTTTTTCTAGGCGGCCAATATCATTCCTGTTAGGAATAGCGCACTCCATAGTCATCTGTAAAATTTCGATTAGACAGATAGGGGTCCTGCAAGGTCGGATTACTTTTAATCCTCTATTTCGTTTGATCACCCTGGAGAGATATTCCGGAACCCTCTAGCTTCTGAAGTTTTCGTCGCTGTTGGACCACTTTATACAGTGGGTCTTTTAACACTGATTTCAAAGAAATAACTGAAAGTGCTAAAAATCAAATGTTTTTAAAATATTAGCGCACGACAATAATAAGCTAATATCACCGTGTGTATTGATTGAATGTTTTGTAGTTGTGAAAAACAGTAATATTAAGTACGTCTTAATTATGACATAAGCGACCTTCATCGTCGTTTTTCGATTGAAGCCACAGGGCGTTCTGGTTTCACCCATACATACCTTCTCGTCAACTAATGCAGTGTACACGTTTTAATGATGGAAAGACCACAACTCTTCACAGCTACCAAGTTTGTAATCGATAACAGCTGAAATAGGACCGAGAGATCGAGGCAGAGAGCCTACTGTGTCAAAAAAAATGCGCCAGAACTCTTAGAAAAATTGAGGAAGGGCACCAAAAACATTGAACAAATATTTGCCTCTGGGGATACGCCGATGCCAGGCACTTTCAGAAACTGAAGGTTGGAAAGAAAAGCATTACGGAAAAACCGATAAGACTAACAGCGACATGATAAAGATCGATATTATAATACTGTTATAATAAAAACGGCAATATAATTAAGCTCCCTTTTCTTTTTCCTGTACTGGGTCTCGGCATGTTCGTGCGTGCAATTGACGAGCCCGCGTCCACGTGACATGACACAGAATCGATGAAATAATCCTCGGAATTAATGACAGATAACAGAGTTAACGTGCTCTTTGATGCAAGATAACTAAATTTCAGTAGCCTTGAGAAACGGCGATGGCAGCAGCAGCAGCGGCCACAACGGTAACAGCGATCACATCCAAAAGCTTCGGCTCTGCATCGTCCTGGGATACACACAGGAAGTGCTTTTATTGACAGGAGTACAGTGAGAAGTGATCCTAAAATGGTAGCATTATACTGCATAATCAGCAGATGAGTGTTAGGATATATCTTCATTCGTGGAGAAGACTGGAACATATTTGGCCTAATGACGCTTAATGAGTCCTTTGCCATATAAAAACGTTCATATACAACCCGTATTATGTTGTTTTACCACAAACACATTTTAAAATAGTGGTTTATGTAATTTCGATCGCCATCCACCAGTACATTTCAGTATTACAGTTTGGCTGAACATGATGTTCCGCTAAAAAAAAGTCGTGGACATCGACATATAATCGTCAATACATTAAAAAAATGAATGAAAAAAATGAAAAATAAAAAAATACCTAATCCTTGGAGCAGATTTAGATTACAGCTGCTATTGCTTTTTATTGTTTTTTTTTTTTTTTTAATATAAATTTATACCCAATCGTGCGCGACATAAGAGTTACAGAGTTGCATACATTTTTTGTTGAACCGGTTAACGACATTTTTACTTTTACCAAATATGAGTCGTGCCGAAGCAAAAATAAAGTAAGTTCAAAACAAGTAATGTCTGTAATCGAAAGGGAATACGTAACTCGGTATCATCTTCGTGGTTGCTACTTTATTTCGCCCTAAATTTGCTTAGTACAAAGAACAACGTTTTTTATGCCGAGCGTTTTATCCCCAAAACATTATGAACGCGCTTTGGGATAAGATAGGCACCAAATAAGCTTTGTATTTTATGACTGTAGGTAACATAACATTATTAGCGCAGTTACTTAAGAGATCATCAATGACTATTTCTAATAAAAAAGCTCATGGAGAATTGTTGTCAAGGGTTGTTGACAGGGAACATAGAGTAATGTGGCAGAAATGCCTGGTCAGTCAGTTTGGTGTGCCGAGTAGTGAATTTAGAGCTCAGAGGCTTATATTTAATATATAGTTTCCGCAATCCATCCACAAGTTGTGTGTATCTGTCGAGCATATCATTGACCACTACGTTGGTAGGGCAGAGCTTTTTACGACAGAAAATATTATCGTTCCATTTATATATATCCCAACACTCAACTTGGTCCGACATTTGATTCGCACTTAGCTAGCTTTCGTTCCAGTATCGCCTTACGAGACAACTGTTTGTGGTTCTACTTACGTGTATATATATATATATACACATATATATATATATACAACAAGGCAGATGCGCCAAGATTGATTTCCAACACTTCGCAAATGTAACCTTCTATACCTCAATAATCATCGCGCGGTTTTCATCGCGTAAAGCGTCCAATTCTGTGACGCCGGCTCCTGTCGTAGTTCTTCCCCAACTACAAGATACTATTTTTTCATTGGCTAGCCCGTGCCATGTATGTCATACTCGCCGCTATCGCACTTCGTTATTTTCGTCATTCGACACACGTGCTTATTGAAAGTCTGTATTTGTGGAACATTTAAGAAATGCATCTATATATATATATATATACTTCAAGGAGCAAGGGCTGGAGGCGCCATGCTTCAGAGGAACAGAACGCGGATGATCGTCTTGACGTGACGAAGGATACGACACGGTAAGGCATTGTTTGCCTTCCGACTGTCAAGATGGGCACGTAGCATCGAGAAGACACTGAACAACACTCAGAAGGACCGGCTCCAAACAAACGGCAGAACAACAGCGGATCACTACCGAGCTTATTTTATGGGGGCACGTGAGAAGTGACGGCATTGTTTAAAAGAGCTAACCAAATGAGCGCTGGCACCATGACTCTAGAAACTGAAAACAAGGCCGAACTCCGCAGCTCGTTTGGCTATTTTGAGAATACGAAGAACGATTATGTTCTATGATGATTTTGTTCTGTTCTCGTTTATTTGTTGTCTGCGCATCTCAAACGTAGCCTCACACTCTCCGTACCATACGAACAATAAGCTACAACACAACAATTCGCGGAATGTTATCGATCCTGGGTAGATGAAATTTCTTTTCCATGCGGCAGTCGTCTCTCTGTTCTCGATACTTACTTTGTGTCACGGTTTTCCCTTGCTCACGCTATTCAGCGTTTAAGTTTACTTGTTATACGATTTTTTTTCCAGCCCCTTCTCTCACTCGCTTGCCTCTGCTTGAGAAAAACTTCCGAAGTTCTCCCCACAAATCTCGACCACTCTCCGTTCGTTTGAAAAACTGCATCTGGCATTGACACAGCGCTCTTCAACAGAGTGGCAAGCTCCTGCTCTGTATTGCGATTCGGGGACATAGTTACTTTAACAACGTTCACGTACTCTCTGAACCGATGCTTACTTTTACTATTTGCTTCCATTTACTGCAGCTACTCCGCGCCACTCGTTGCTCGAAAGACTCGCTGCTATCTGCTCTACTCGCTTTAGAGCTTTTCAACTTTCTCAAATAAAACTCAGAAATTCAACGGACAATGTCTTTCTCAGGCGAAGCTTGATGAGCTAGTAAATGACGGCACGTCAATTGTTAGCTCCACCTGTCGTCATTTCATGGATCTTTCTGTATGACATCTTTGTACATAGTCAGTTAAAAAGGTAACATTTTTTAACCCGTTTCCATTGCCTATTACCCTCAACACCACCACTTGGCGTGCTAGTGCCTTCGACGGCTCCTAATACACGGTCCTGTTCGCTAATGGCACACATGTAGCTATGGCTGTTCTTCATCGTGATTTTTTTGCACTTATCTCAAAGCACGCTCTTGCTGAACATGCATTTTGCGGCGTGGATGGCACGTGCCCCGCTCGCTACGCATGTGAACCTACCGTCATTCCGTCTGTCTTCGCTCCGTGCGCGAGGCCTACAATTCTGTAGTGAGCAAGATTTGAGTAAGATACATAAATCTCGAACCAGAGACTATGCTTCTAACGATTACGCGAACGCTTTCCGTAAACACGCTCGTATATTTAACCAGCAGTTTGGAACTCAACACACGATTAATTGCGTAGGCTGGATAGATAATCGCGTTGGTTAGTCCGGCCAAGTGATCTTTTCTGAGATGAATCGTATTCTGTATGGTACACTTGCCGTATCACGACTCACTATGCACTAATATCTGCAGTCACTTCCGGTGCCCTGTCTTTCGCGTTGTTCGTTCGTTCCTTGTTTTTAAAAAGGACAAGCAGCAGCAGCAGCAGCAGCACCGCCGCCATCCGTGACTTCAACCCACACCCGTTTTTCTTGGGGGCGCCTACGCGGGCGCACTGCGTTGCATTGTTCGCCATTGAGAACGTGGAATTCGCTTAGTAACTAAGCGTTGATTGACATCTTCACACGACTGCCATTTCTCGCCATTTTCTACTGGCTAATCGATTCATTGTTTTTCTTCGTTTACACTACTTCCCTAACAAATCCGTTCAGGCGTCTAACAAGTGCCACAGCTCAAGCTACTGCGTACAATTTCACGTTGTTCGAGTTCAGATCTTCATCAAATATAAATATTTACCTGTCTTTTTAGTAAAAAAAGTTCACTCTCTATAACGTTGTCTGTAGCATGTGAGAATTGCGAGACATAAAGACTCAAATTATATTTAGCAAAGATAAAAATTAACACTCGCAGCAAGCTAAGTATAGGAAATCTAAATATCCTCCGTACTAGATATAATTAAAAATTTCTCATACGCGTAAATCGTGTAGCATTTACGTGTAATACTTGTAGCACAAACAGTTAATTGTTTTTTTTTTTTTTTTTTTTTCTATTTCTTTCACTAGAATCAGATACGAATCGGCCTCTCAGATTTCAGACTTCTGTAGAATATTCAGTTGTTGAAAGGACATGGTTTTCGATCTGTTATTAGATCGGTAAATCTAGCAATAGTTTGTCAGACGCTTAAGAATAGATAATCGTTTATCTCGCTGTCTGCTGTTAAATCTTGACGAAGTAACATTACACAGCTTGAATATTTACTTAGACTTCTGTAAGTATAGTAGTAATAGTAGTAAAGTAATTGTTGCCTATTTTTTTTTTTGATAAACTTCGTTTGTCGTCGTAAAAATGAAATTTCATCAATAGTAAAAATTATATGTTATTCGTTATGTAATTAATTTTAGCATACTATTACGCCATTTGGTCAGTGTGAACGGTTCAACTGAAGTGAAGCATCTATGAAGAAGAAGAAGAAATCAATGTGTACAAACTTGGCAGATATCAAAGAGCATCCTCAACTCTAGGCTAGACAACGTCCGCT